CAAAAAATTGTTAAAACTTGACTATTAAGGGCAATAACTCCTAAAGGGGTCGACTGAAAATTTTGGTCATGACAACTTATTTGTATATCTTACTTCGCTGAACATTATTGCTGTTTACAGTTTATCTCTATCTATAATAATATTCAAGATAACTACCAATAAAATGCTTTGCTGGGCGCAGCTTGATACGACCGCAGAGGTCGAACCCTGAACAGTTGGGGCAAGTATGGACACAACATTCAAGCTTGATACAGCTCTGAATTTGGATTGTGATTAAATATTTGACACAGCATAGGTTTCTGACACAGAAAGAATGTGGTCTAAGGACTTGATTTTTTTTAATTTACCTATTATGGTCCAATGTCCAAAATCAAAATACATGGTTAGATTCAGCATATCAAAGAACCCCATATATTCAATTTTTGTAGAATTCAAACAAAGTTTAATTTTGGACCCCAACTTGGACCAACTTGAAAACTGGGCCCATAATCAAAAATCTAAACACATGTTTAGATTCAGCATATCAAAGAACCCCAAGAATTAAATTTTTGTTAAAATCAAACTAAGTTTAATTTTGGACCCTTTGGACCTTAATGTAGACCAATTTAAAAAACGGGACCCAAAATTAAAAATCTAAATACACGGTTAGATTTGGAATATCAAAGAACCCCAATAATTCAATTTTTGATGAAATCAAACAAAGTTTAATTTCGGACCCTTTTGACCTCAATATGAACCAATTTGATAGCGGGCCCACAAATAAAAAATCTAAATACATGGTTAGATTCAGCATATCAAAGAACCCCATATATTTAATTTTTGTTGAAATAAAAAAAAAAGTTTAATTTTGGACCCCAACTTGGACCAACTTGAAAACTGGGCCCATAATCAAAAATCTAAACACATGTTTAGATTCAGCATATCAAAGAACCCCAAGAATTAAATTTTTGTTAAAATCAAACTAAGTTTAATTTTGGACCCTTTGGACCTTAATGTAGACCAATTTAAAAAACTAGACCCAAAATTAAAAATCTAAAAACACGGTTAGATTTGGCATATCAAAGAACCCCAATAATTCAATTTTTGATGAAATCAAACAAAGTTTAATTTTGGACCCTTTTGACCTCAATATGAACCAATATGATAGCGGGCCCACAAATGAAAAATCTAAATACATGATAATATTCAGCATATCAAAGAACCCCATATATTCAATTTTTGTTGAAATCAAACAAAGTTTAATTTTGGACCCCAATTTGGACCAACTTGAAAACTGGGCCAAAAATCTAAAATCTAAATACATGTTTAGATTCAGCATATCAAAGAACCCCTTATATTCAATTTTTGTTAAAATCAAACACAGTTTAATTTTGGACCCTTTGGACCTTAATGTAGACCAATTTGAAAACTGGACCCAAAATTAAAAATCTAAATACACGGTTAGATTCGGCATAAAATATAGTGTCAAATCTTTCATATGGATTTTTTTGTAAAAAAAAAAGATGCAACATTTGCAGATATTTTTACTGGTCTTCCTTTATAAATATGCATTTCTTTAAACATAATTTAAAAGCAGTGTAAGGGAAGTAACCAAAACGTTGTATTTGGATTACCTCCCTTACACTGTTTTAAATTATCTTAATTGTTCATTAACCATTACATTATACATAATTTAAAAGCAGTGTAAGGGAGATAATTTCAATGATGTATTTGATTTATCTCCCTTACACTGCTTTAAATTATGTTTTGTACTAAAGTATTTGTCCATTAACCAGGACAACCTTGTTTTTCCCCCTTTTTTGCCCCTAATTCCTAAACGGTTTGAGCCATAACCCCCCAAAACAAATCCTAACCATCCCTTTGTGGTATGGAAACTTGTAGTATAATTTCAGAGAGATCCATACACCGTTCCACAGTTATTGTCTGGAAACTAGAAAATGCTTATTTTTGGCCCCTTTTTGGCCCCTAATTCCTTAACTGTTGGTACCATAACCCCCAAAATCAATCCCCACCTTCCTTTTGTGGTATTGAACCTTATGGTAAAATTTCAAAGAGATCCATTCACTTTAACTAAAGTTAGAGTGCGAAAACCAATGTGTCTTCGGATGACGACGACGTCATACCAATATACGACCGCAAAATTTTTTGCGGTCGTATAAAAACTGCAAAATTTCCTTAAAATTACAAATTCAGGGCAGCAACCCAACAACAGGTTGTCAGATTTGTCTGAAAATTTCAGGGCAGATACATCTTGACCTGATAATCAGTTTTACCCTTTGTCAGATTTACTCTCAATGCTTTGGTTTCAGAGATATAAGCCAAAATCTACATTTTACCCCTATGTTCTATTTTTAGCTATGGCGGCCATCTTGGTTGGTTGGCGGGGTCAACGGACACATTTTTTAAACTAGATACCCTAATGATGATTGTGGCCAAGTTTGGTCAAATTTGGCCCAGTGGTTTCAGAGGAGAAGATTTTTGTAAAAAGCTAACGACGACGACGACGGACGACGGACGACGGACGCCAAGTGATGAGAAAAGCTCACTTGGCCCAAAGGGCTAGGTGAGCTAAAAAAGTATGTATAATAACTGTTATTTTCATTAAATTTTCAGTCTAAAGCCTGTAACATGTGTAATCTCGGTAAAAATCAGCTGAGCGGAACCAAACCTAAACTCATCATTGTAGACTCACATACTAAAATTCAGCTCTATATGTCAAAGCGTTTAGAAAAAAAAGTCTGTTTAACTGTTTGTGCGGAATGAAGGAATGACAGAATGATGGAATGACAGATAAGGGTAAAACTATATGGCCCCTACCACTTTCATAATATGATTATTACATCCCCTATCTGCAACTCCAGCTTCACCTGTGTAACCAGAAATAAGGCAGCTACAAATAGTATGCTAGGTATTTTTGCTATCAATAATACAAATTTTCTGAAAAAATGGTCTTCAATATTTGCTACTTTATTCTCAAATAATAAGACCAATACCGGGTCTGTACCTGCATCGCTGTAGGCATTTGATTGCGGTTACATTTAAACCGGAGCATAACTGATCATTCCCTGACCAATTTCACAAGAGTGCACACGCTGAAATGTCTCGCCTTCTTTACTAATCATTGATATTATGTTGATAGTCCTAAATATAAAGCTTTATTACAACTGTCACATACTCTTAACATTAACTAAGTAAACTAAACATTGACCAATGAACCATGAAAATGAGGTCAAAGTCAGATGAACCATGCTAGGCAGGCATGTACAGCTAACAATTCTTCCATACAACAAATGTAGTTGACCTATTGCTTATAGTTTAAGAAAAACAGACCAAAACACAAAAACTTAACACTGAGCAATGAACCTTGAAAATGAGGTCAAGGTAAAAAAAAAACCTGCATGACTGACAAATAGATCATAAAATATTTCCATACACCAAATATAGTTGAACTATTGCATATAGTATTAGAAAAAAAGACCAAAACTCAAAAACTTAACTTTGACCACTGAACCATGAAAATGAGGTCAAGGTCAGATGACACTTGCCAGCTAGACATTTACACCTTACAATCATTCCATACACCAAATATAGTAGACCTATTTCATACAGTATAAGAAAAACAGACCAAAACACAAAAACTTAACTATAACCACTGAACCATGAAAATGAGGTCAAGGTCAGATGACACCTGCCAGCTGGACATGTACACCTTACAGTCCTTCCATACACCGAATATACTAGACCTATTGCTTATAGTATCTGAGATATATGTAACACTACCCAAATTTGTACTTGACCTGAGTTTTGTGGTAATAAGTATTGTGTATAAGTTTCATAACATTTGGTTGAGGCAAACTTAAGTTAGAGAATGGAAACGAAAAATTCAGCAATTTTTCCGTTTGTAAAGGGGCATAACTCTAGAACAGTAAAAGTGACACTACCCAAATTTGAAATTGACCTGAGTTTTGTGGTAATAAGTATTGTGTATAAGTTTCATAACATTTGGTTGAGGCAAACTAAAGTTAGAGAACACAAACGAAAAATTCAGCAATTTTTCAATTTGTAAAGGGGCATAACTCTAGAACGGTTAAAGTGACGCCACCAAAATTCGAACTTGATCTGTGTTTTGTGGTAATAAGCATTATGTAACGTTTTCATAACATTTGGTTGAGGCAAACTGAAGTTAGAGAACGGAAACGAATAATTCAGCAATTTTTTCCATTTGTAAAGGGGCATAACTCTAGAACAGTTAAAGTGACGCCACCAAAATTCAAACTTGATCTGTGTTTTGTGGTAATAAGCATCGTGTATAAGTTTCATAACATTTGGTTGAAGCAAACTGAAGTTAGAGAACGAAAACCAACTTTGGGATGTACAGACAGACAAGGGTAAAACTTATAATGCCCTCTCCACTACGACAGGGGCATAAAAAAGCACAGTACCAAGACATATTTTTCAACACAATAATAATACAAGTGAAACTGCGAGCTACTGCTTACTGATGATACCCCCGTCCAAATATAATAGTGTAAAAATATGTAAGTGTTCGGTAAAGTTGTTGAGTGATGAATCTGAAAACGCATCACACGGTATAGCTGACTTATATAAACCCTGAAACCAAATTTCAGAAATCCTTATGATGTAGTTCCTGAGAAAGATGGGACGAAAAATATTCATGGGATGGATGGACGGACTAACGGATTGATGGCTGGATGGATGGACAGATGGGCAGAGGTAAAACAGTATACCCCACTTTTTTAAAGCAGGGGTATAATAAGAAGATGGAGTATGATTGCCAATGAGACAACTCTCCACCAGCCCTTTATTAATATATCAGGACAAATTTGTTTGGCAAATCTGCAAGACTTTTGCAATAAACAATTGTTGTAAATCAGTTAATGAATTTCAATCAAACTTTCTCACAAATTCTACTGAATGATTGCTTTTGCCATTGTTTTGCCACTAGGGATTAATTTACTATATTTAAGAAAAATACTTACCAGTACACAGTAAAATTACCAGTACGATAGCTACTAGATATTTAACATATATATTCATCTTTGAAGTAGAATATGTTGAATCTGAAAGAATGTATATTAATTGACAGTGTGTTCTACAGAAGTAAATTGATTGATTTTATTTTACTGTTAATATCATTGATATCATGGTCACGTTCATAAATAAATTTAGTGTACATAAAATTTTAAATTATTCAAAACACTCAGGTTGTTCTAGTCTCAGACCCTAATCTGATTTGGCACATTTTTGGGATTTTCCTTTTCAGTGGTTTTATAAGTTGATTTGGCTTTCAAACTGTTTTGAGGTGGAAGGGGGGGGGGGGGGTGGGGGCTCGATGGCCGAGAGGTCTTAGTAGTCCTACTACACTGTATCACTAGCTTGTCAACACTGAAGTTGTGAGTTTGTGTATCAGTGGTTTGATTCCGCCAGTGTACTTTATCCGGAGGAAGAAAATCCCCAGTGATTTTTATCCACCAACAAAAAATCACTAGGGTTTTCTATCCGGGTCCAGTGTAAAACATCCACCAGTCATTATAAGGTTCTAAAAAGGATTTTTTTAAGGGGAAATATATATAAAATGTGGCTTAATAGTTTTTAGTGTATTTGAAAATTGCATAGTTGATTTATGTAAAAAGTGGAGAGTTTTTGAACCAGGAATGATTACACTAGTGATTTTGTACCGGAATGATTGCACTAGTTATTTTATACCCGGCGGGATTAATTACACTAGTGCTTTAGATCCATTCATTGATGAAGTGATTAGTACTCATTTTGAACACACGATAACACAATAATGCTTATTATCGAATGAAATTTAAATAATTTTTCTATGCAAATCTATAAAATCATATGCTTTTAAATTGTCACTAATTGTAATATTTATATTTATTGGATTGCCGAAGTTTTTCTATGTATTTGCTTTTCGGTCGACTTGGATATTAAATTATATCTTCTATGCCAATATCAAAGGATGCTTCTGTAATTGATACTATTTGTAAGAACAAATCTGCTCTTTAAATTTGGTTTGGATCAAGTTCAATGTCCTGATCATTGATAGTATTTTGAGTTATAAAAATATCCTCCTCATCATCATCAATATTACTTTACTAGATTGATTCAGATTAATTAAACTGGTTCCTTGAAAATCATTTTAATTTTAACCCATTTATTTATGTAAACAATAAAACCGGTCTAATATAAACAAAACAACGATATAAAGATCGACGCTTTCACACTATTTACATCCAATATTCTCTAGTGAAAAACAGTTACCCGGAATAAATACACGGCGGAATGAAAGTACGCTTACATATGAACCCAGCATGTGGCAGGTGTGCTTAATTCAATATTAATTGACTAGAATTGTCAGTTTTCCTACCAAAGGTCGGTGGTTATCTCCAGGCGCACCAGCTTCTTCCACCAATAAAAAAACCGCCCGCCAATAGTGTTGAAAGTGGCGTTATACACAAATCAATCAATTAAACTGTTATGATTCTAGCACCACTGGTGAGTCTTATACAATGTATATATAAAACACTTGGCTGGCATATTTAATTAAAAGCCATGTAACTTTTATGAGTTTTTATATGTTTGAAAGTATAACGATTGAAAAAGTCATAAAATTATCTGTTTTAATCGAATTATCACAAAAGGCACAACAACAAAAGTCAATTATGTAGGAATGAATGTGTACTTATAGACTAAGGAAGTAGTACATGCAAATATAAAAAACAGTCAAAATTATAACATATGACTTCATTTAAAAACAAAAACTACTAATTAGGTTGTATAGGCGCTTGTACTTTTGAAAGCTTGCGGTGTCTAAGTACACATTTACCTGAGAAAGGTCTCCATCGAGATATGTTGTGAAACAACAAAATTATATTAAAATATGTATAAAAGAAAAAGAAAAAAAACAGAAGGACTGTAAGAAGGTCCTTCTGACGTCTTCAGATGGATATACCTTTAAATAAAATTAAAAATTAGATGTACATTCCATATTTTTGTATTTTGGAACATCTTTTCAATCATAAATATTCGATAGAATATTCTATTTTAAAGCTTTTTAATCAAGCTGTATGTAAATAAGAAGTATCAGTTTACTATATATATCTGTATCTGTATAGGTACATGTAGAATCCTATTTAGGCTTTTAAACACGGTGGAGAAGAGTGCCGTTGTTTATGGATGATGTTCCTGTAGCGCGGTCTTGAATGCCTCTACAGAATCTGCACACACCTTATCTGGCAGTTGGTTACCAATGAACATGATGACGGAAAGAGAACCCATATAGGTTTTTTTTTTATTTTGTCCTTTTTGTTATTAACGTATTCTTATCTTCCTTTCGATACATTAACGCTGATGTATATTCTCACTTACATTAATGTAATAACACCTTTGTTTTTTGTTTTTTTCTTCTATATTTATTATTGACATCCTTTGAATGAAACATTGCAAAGACAGGATAAATTGGGGAAGTAAGGTCTTTCATATCGTCTTTGTTAATTTTTTTTTCTTCACAAATTCCTTCATCGTCAAATGTGTTTCAGAGACACAATGATCTTTTTCACTGTCATTCAAAAGAAAAGGAAATACACATTATTTTGATTTTTTTTTTACAAAACATCCAAGTTCATATTTGGTTAACTTGATAGACGAGTTGCTTCTTCATAATACGAGAAATAACAAGAATACAAATAATTGATATGCATGTACTTTTAGAGAAGATCAAATATTGGACTACTTCAAATTAAAACTCATAAAACAAAACTTCATCAAATATGTTTATAAATACCTGGTACTGACTTCGTAATAAAAATTTTTCTCCTTGGTGCACCATTATTTGGTATCCTGTAAAATAACAATAATAATAAGAAAAGGTATTTGACCGGGCCAATTCAAGGTGGCCAGGATACTTTCATTGGCAAAAGTCACCTCTTAAATGCTGATGTAGAAAGTGTATACAACAGAAGAATAATAATTTAACTAAAATCAGATATGTGAAACCTGTAACGTAAATCATTTGTTTTACGTGAGATTGGTAAGATTTGAGACATGGTTAATGATTTCTTTCTGATGTTACAATTGAAATACAGGGTTCACATAGTACACCATTTAACTGATCAACTAAGGCAAAAATGTAAGGCAGGAAATAAAAGTATGTCTTTCATAATTTTCAGTTTTTGTTATGCTGTTAACAATTAATTATAAAACAATCAACCCGTAGAAACCGAATTCAAACCAATTAAACAGAAATGTGGAAATCGACTGCTATTACCTAGCATATTCCAACCGGGAATAACATATAGTACGTTCTTATTATCTACAAAGTTTCATGGAATTCTGTTGTGTGGTTTCAGATGAGTTGCAATGACAAACTGTTACAGTGTATAATTATGTTAAAATTCTTTGTTCAAGAGGACATAACTCCTAAAAAAAGAAATTGAATCATAATTTCCTGTTGATATGCACATCTACATAGTCTGTCCTTATTATCTACAAAGTTTTATCTGTTGTGTGGTTACAATTACAAGAACAAGAATGACGGAAGGACAGAGTCGAGTGGTTACTAACCCCGCATCCAACTTCGTTGACGCAGGTAAAAAACAGTTAACTTATCTACAAAAAAATGTACCTTTTACACTATATATGCTAAAACATCTTATTCAAAACTTAAAGACATAATTTAGAGAATTAGTCCAATTTTGTTTTAAATGGAAAGAAACAAAGAAATACATATTTAGTTTCAGGAACATGAGGAAGGGATAAAACATACTTTGTAAAAACACATGCTGCTCCAAACATCTGAAGCTGATCTTAAAACATCATCAAAATGCTTGATCTTTTTTATATAGACAACATATTTATTAATTTTGGCACCAATTGTGCTACTCTTCTTGCCAACTTGATCCTTTATTCATAAATTTTAGACAGATTTCATTCAGGAAGAAAAAAAAAGCTAGCATTATAACCCTTTAACTTCACATTATATAGATGATGTCCTCACACTAAATAATTCAAAGTTTGGTGACTATGTATGTCATGTATGTTGAACACATCTATTCCATCGAACTTAAAACAAAAGATACCTCAAAAATATAGAATATCATGTCACAGATAAGCAAGGACATGTTTCATTGTCTTTACGGTAATCCAGTCCTCTTTTACTCGATATAACATCACCGTATGAGATTTATCGCCAAATTTGTAGTTACCATAAGCATCATGACTGTTGTCAATAGTGTTTGAATGCATTTTTGAAATTCATCTAAGGAGTAAGGTCATCAAATATGATTCCAAAATGGAAAAACTACATAAAAACATAAAAGAAAATTGTCTTCTGGAATGCTAACTGAAATAGAAAAGGTCATTTCTATATTTAATTAATGACAAGAGAGCACATACTGAAATGTCTTGCCTGTTTTTTACTTATCATTGAATTCATGTTGAAAGTCTGTAATATGAAGGTTTTACTACAAAAGAGAGGCGAAAGATACCAAAGGGACATTCAAACTCACAAGTCGAAAATAAACTGACAACGCCATGGCTAAAAAAGAAAAAGACCAACAGACAAACACAACATAGAAAACTAAAAACTGAGCAACACGAACCCCACCAAAAACTGGGGGTGATCTCAGGTGCTCTGGAAAGTTAAACAGATCCTGCTCCACATGTGGCACCCGTCGTGTTGCTCGTGTTAGTAAACCCAGTAATAAGTCTAATTCTGTAGGTCACATTCGGGAAAAGGGGACGGGATTGTAGTTACTACATTAGGAACATATCCGCTATTAACTGTGAAACAGATATTCCGAAACGGTCAACCAACTTGTGATGGCGTCTGTAAAATTTGCAAAGGAATGATTTCAACTTCACCACTTGGAACTCTTGGTTTAATAGCTTCCTTGTGAGCAGCAACCTTTATCAAGGAAATCATGATAGGAAAAATAAAAATTATCACATAAACTTAACGTTATCAACAGGGGCTTCAATAAGTTTGACGTGAACAGACTGTTTACTAATTTGAAATGGGCGATAGAAAGATGGGGGGGGGGGGTGGTACGGGGGCTATACATTAAAAATGGTGCACTCTGAGGCATTTTCAGAGAGTTTACAAGTGCATAAATCAAAGTGATGGAATTCACTCATGGAAAGATTGGAAGAGTAGTTTGAATAGTTTAAAATTATATTTAGGTCTGGTGTGGACAAAAAAGGACATTAATATAGCACTTTTGCTGACAATTGCATTAACTGCATTTTATCTTTAGAAACAGTAGAAATTACCAAATAAAGATTCTTCTTATAAAGTTTACCAATCTAATATCCTTGTAGGACATGGGACCAACAAATAGACTTGAAACTAAGATCTATATTGTCTCCAAAAAATAATCTAAAAAGGTTGTTTAGGGGGCATTTTGTAAGTTGAAACATAGGTATACTATCTTTCTCTTCTGAGAATTGCTTATTGATTTTGAAAACAATCATCATGATTATATGACACTGAAAGTTGTAAAGTGTATTTTAATTCAATTTATAATCTAACATTTTCCAGAAAAGGGCATTGAAAATGTACTTTTTCAACATATAAAACAAAAAAATTTGTAAGGGTTCCGGAATATACGGAAAAACAGGAAATTTTTTTTTACAAAATTTCCTTCTAGATACTAGCTTTTGATCATAAACAAGCTTCTGTCCAAGTCTGGTACAAATGCAGGATAGTTTAAGAAAGTTATTAAAATTTTGAAAGCTTTAACCACAGGGTGAATGTAATGTTAACTGGCAGAAAAACTAAGTCCATTTATGAGTAAAATACGGATAAACAGGATTTTTTTTTTTACGAAATTTTCTTCTGGATACTATCTTATGATCATAAACAAGCTTCTGTCCAAGTTTGGTTGAAATGCAGGATAGTTTAAGAAAGTTATTAAAATTTCAAAAACTTTAACCACAGAGTGAATATTTGTGGACGCTGCCGACGACGACGCCGACGGAATGTAGGATCGCTATGTCTTGCTTTTGCGACAAAAGTCGCAGGCTTGACAAAAAAAAAGATCTTGTTAATCCTTAATCATTTATCTTTCAGACATAATTTATAAAATCATTTTATGTAGTGTAGATCAAAAGTAATAGGCAAGGAATAAATCTATCATTTCTATATATATATATACATTAGTTTACAAGTATTTGTGTATTGAGATGTATAATGAAGGGTCTGTTTAATTATGCAAGACATATACGGAGGATGATTAGTAATTTGGTCAATATGATTGGCATATAAGAAGGTGTGACATTGTCATTAAGGCCCAATCTTGTCTCTGATTCTTTGGTTATAATGGCAGGTGTCATACTGGTATTGTATCATTACTCTCACCTAATTAAAATGACAAACATAGCTTGCAAATTGACAAAACTTATAGACATACATACTTGAACATGTTGAATGAAATCCTCTAAAGATACAACCAATATTTTTCACAGTTCATGTGTGTATATGTGCACAAAGATGAGAATTATAGGGAACTACATTTCAGTGTGTATACATTTTCTAGATTTAGTAGCTAACCTGTCCTACTTCTTATTTGGGAGGCCGGTGCCTTAGGAAAGACTTGGAACAATAGTTCCAATCTTTCCAAAAATGAGGTTTCATAGGAATAATATCTTTTTTTTAGCTTTTGTTTTAGTAAGTTTAATCTTATTAGTAAGTTGTGATATTGCTTATCAAATAAAAATATTTTTATGTCAGTAATGATCTTAATTGTAATCAATCATATTGCCAGATATTTTCAAAAGATAAGAAAGCAGCGGATGGGTCATAATCAACCATTACCAAGAAATCAATGCCATCAAGTTGAATAAACAATTAAGAAACAACCTCAAAACCTAGATCATAAAGGATACCAGTCAAAACATACCAAAATAATTGATTCTAAACATGAAGAAATTAAGGCAGTATGTTTCCTAGCCTAGCCAAACATACATTCAAATTTTGTGAAGAAATGAAAACTTGAAAAAAAATAACATGCACGTGCACAAAAACAAAAATTGCAGGCCAACTTATATGAAATTTCTGTGATTTTTTTTTTTTAAATCGAGATTTTTCAGAGTAAGTTAGACTATAAACTATAACAGAAACTGGAAACAGGATAGACAATACATATACATCAACCTGTTGTTACACCGACATATTGTGTGTTATCGCTGAGCTTCGCATCAATAATCATATATACTTGACAACCATATCAGCTTTGAATGGATCCAAAAATTATTATGATCATTATTAAAGAATTGTCAGTCACAACAACTATCGATATATTCATGCGTAAATTGCATAATATGTGATTCTGTCTTCGCCTGCTTCTTTTTTCTTTTTGGGGGCTGTAAAGAAATCAATCAACATTGATTTTCTTTTGGCTTGTGTACTTGCTATCTGGATCAACATGATGAACCATGAAAGACAGACATGTACACCTTACAATCATTCCTTAAACCAAATATTGTGGTCCTATCGCTAATAGTACATGAGAAACAGATCAAACCACAAAATCTTAACATTGACCAATGAACCATAAAAATGAGGTCAAGGTCATATGAACCCTGGCAGGCAGACATGTACACTTTACAACTGTTCCATACATTAAATACAATTGACCTATTCATGCTATTGCTTATAGTATCTGAGAAATAAACCAAACCATAACAACTAAACATTGTCTAATGAACCATGAAATTAAGGTCAAGGTCAGATGAAACCTGCCAGTCTGACATGTACACCTTACAATCATTCCATACACAAAATAAAGTTGACCTATTGCTTATAGTATCTGAGATAGGGACTTGACCACGTAACTTTAACCTTGATCACTGGTCAATGGAATGATGTCGATGTTAGGTGAATCCTAACTGACAGACATGCAGAAGTTGCAAGGAAACCATATACCAAATATAGTTATCCTATTACTCATAAGTGAGTATTTCACTTAAAAAAAAAAAAAAAAATTTTCAAGCATGCAGTCACTGAGCTATGAAAATGAGGTCAAGAACAATGGACATAAGACAGACTGAAACTTTTAAACATAAGGCATTTGCACACAAGGTATGAAGCATCCAGGTCTTCTACCTTCTGAAATATAAAGTTTTAAACAAAAAGTTTACGCCGTTGCCGGATTATAATACCTATGTCTCGCATACTGCAACTTTCGTCGCAGGCAAGACAAAAATTATAGTTGTATTAACTGTATTGTATTGCAGGTGCCACTTTTGGTGCAGAAACTGATTTCTTTTTAAGAGCACCCTATCATTTTCAGTTGGTTCCTTTTTCAATCTTTAGCATTCTCTGTAATATTGATAGTCTCTTGGGTTTGTTCACCTTATTTGGATAATCTTTTATATGCCCATTAGCTAAAATATTTATATTTTTGGTCCTGCTTCCATTTTATCTTCTTTTTTCTCCTATAAGGTATTATGAAAATTAATTTTAACGAAACACTTTGCTAGTAAGCTTATTTTCAGCAACATATGTTTAACTTACTTTTCATTTTGTATCGCTGGGCATTGGAAGATGCCAGTCCAGTTGCTAAAATGAACACACTGATAATCTGCGAAAAGTAAGTGTTTCATTATAGATTATTATAACTGCATGTGAAACAGAATTTAAACTGAAAGATCTGTAAAACTTTGTATGATCTGAAATTTCATTTCTATGTTAACAGTAAGCATGGTAAGTAAAATTCATAAGTCGCCATGGAAATTGTTTCTTGATGCATGACAGACAAATATTTCATTCGTGTGTGCAGGATCAAAGATATATATCAATCTTTATTTGAAAACTATTAAGCAAAACAAGTAATGTTGGTGTTAAAAAAAACTCCAGAGGAAATATATTCAAAAGATAGAATATACAAAAGTTGAAAATGTCCCCTTCTCTTTAAACATACATTATATAAGAACATATGTATAAAAATATATGGGTTTACATAAATAAATGCATGTTCAGTAACAGTTAAGGTCAGATTGGCAGACAGCATAGATTTTATTTTGTCTGTAAAGTTTACCAATAAATGCTATTCATAATGCTTATTATAGCCAAAATTTTTCACAATTGTCATTCTGGGACTTTTTTTATTGTTTATTTTGTCTCGAGGGTTTTGTTTATCAATTTTATATAATGACATTTATGAGTCTGTGAAAGTAGCTTTTCAAGCAATTTGTGGTAGGATATATCACATGGGAAATATCAATTGCATCACTCTTCTTAACATTAAAGATGTCTTGTAACATGGTTTCTAATTACCTATTGATCAACTAGTCTTACTTTCAAACCAATCCTTGGCTTTCAAATAGTTGGCTTTGTGCGTTCCTGATGAAGGTAAATCCAGAAAAGCGCTTCAGACGCATGAAATTTATAACGTGTTTTCATTTTTCATAACATTCATGAATATATCACTGAATTTATCTTACCAATACTACAAAATTTGATATTTTTTATTCATACTTTAGATTTGTGACTTTTAATTAAAAAGACTAAAAGGAGGTGTAACTTAAATACATCTTGAGACAAAAAAACAACACAAAAAAAAAAAAAAAACATCTAGTTGAAGGTACAAAAAATTAAAATGTGATTGTTTTTGGGGCTACAAATATTTATATTAATATAAAAAAGCATTTTGAAGAAAAAAAAATTTCGCTGTTAGCAGTCAGTTTGGTTCAATATTTAAAAAAAAAGGCTAAAATGAAAATGTTGATGTTTTATTAGCTGGCGAGTCAATAATTCAATCTAAATTAAATCTGTATTCATGTGACATTTAATCTTTTTCAGTTATCAAAAGAAAAGAATATCAACATTGAAAAGTGAAAAGTGAAACAAATGTATTAAGTATTTCCACGTGATCAGTGAGAAGTCAGAAATAGTGATTCCGTTATTGTCAGCAAATGTTCTTTGACCTTATTTTGATTGTGTTGATGGATTGCTATCTCACTTACATAAACATCAAGTCTACTTTTGTACATGTAAAAATATAAATAAGAAATACCACTTAGTCAAAAATTGTTAGTAACATGTTGCTTTATAGTTAAATTTCTACATTTTTTTCAGAATTTGCTAGCATAATTACCTGGCGTCAGATAGTAGTCTACATCACAGGCCTTGCTATAACAACTACAATCCTCTTCAGAAGGAATACAGTAGCACTTTTTCTTTGGCTTTGTGACAAACACGAAATTGTCTATGTAATTACAGCGACACGATCTGTCATCTGTTGTTGTTCCATTACTGTAAACCACCTGTCCTTCTCTGTTGCATTGAGACTTACGTGTCACACATCTGCTGCTTGTGTTAGGTAGCAATGAGAACGGTTGAAACCTTTCTGGTCCACATGGCCGACTGTCTAGCATACCACTTATAACAAATCTATATCCTGAAACAAATTTAAATGTTTGATTAGCAGTTATTTTGTTTACAATATCAAAACATTGATTTGATATTTATAAATTTTTAATTAAGTGAGAGTTTTATTAATTTTTACAATATGCTGATGATTGTATCTTATATTTAATTATAAAATAAATGGAGAATGTGTCTATGGGCCACAGATGCCCCCGCTTGTAAACATGCAACTTCCACATACAGATGCAGGATTTACATTATTAAGACTGTTTTTTGTGATTATAAGCATTGTGTATAAGTTTCATAACATTTGGTTGAGGCAAACTAATGTTAGAGAAGGGAAACGACAGATTTAGCAATTTTTCCATTTATAAAGGGGCATAACTCAAGAACAGTAAAAGTAATGCCACCCAATTTCAAACCTGATCTGTGTTTTGTGGTTATAAGCATTGTGTATAAGTTTTATAATATATGGTTGATGCATTAACTAAAGTTAGGGAATGGAAACAAAAAATTCAGCAATTTTTATGTTTATAAAGGAGCATAACTCATGAATGGTAAAAGTGACCCCATCCAATTTCAAACTTGATCTGTGTTTTGTGGTAATAAGCTTAGTGTATAATTTTTATAACATTTAGTTGAGGCAAACTAAAGTTAGAGAACGGAAACCAATTTCGGGACGTACAGGACGGACGGACAAGGGTAACACTTTTAAATGCCCCCGACATCTAGCGGCGGGGGCATAAAAATCTAACTTTCAAACTACAAATGTTAAAATTGAGGTGTATTTATAACTTGTATTTTTGTCTTTTTTCGTTCACACATTTTCCAATTAAAATTAAGGCATATTAATTATATTATTCATGAAATGTGCTGCTAGCAAAAGAATAGTCAGAAACATCGATAACTAACCTGTGGACCTCTAAAATTCATACTAAAAGCCCTTGACGACAGACTTTCTTGTGGATCTTTTTTAAGCATAACTTTTTAAATAAAAGAAGAATGTGTGCATGGAACACAGATGCAACTTAATGGCATTTATTTCTGTATGTTGAGTGTGCAAAACAGCAAATTTGTCAATATTTATAAATGTACAAGGACAGTGAAAGTGACACCACCCAAATTTTAATTTGATCTGTGTTTGGTGGTTTGAAGCATTGTGTACATATGTTTTTTTAATACTTTTCCTATTATAAACATTTGATTAAAATATTTATGCGATTATCAAGCCTCGATAAACGTATATCAATATTCTCAATGTAGATTCGGTTGGTAATTGTCACCATATATATCAAAACTGTTATTTTACTTCGTGAGCTGATCTGTTTACACACGATATAATACGATATAATACACTTATTTGATCAGGGTGACCCACTGCATGTCACTTCCTTTGGGTAGAATTAGAGGGTGTTAGTGGCGTGTTTTACTAAATCGTTCAGGTGTGCAAATGAGGAACAGACAGTATTTTGCAAATATCTCAATAATAACAAGATAAAATTTTATCTGGTATTTTGCTTTTTTAACGATTATTTCAAACTTTAAAATTATTCAAACATGTTTTTTGCGTTTTAGTACCTCTTTAACATTTGGTTGTGACAAAGTAAAGTTAGAATGCAGAAACGCCAAATTCAGCAGTTTTTCCATTTAAAAAGGGACATAACTAAAGAACAATGAAAGTGACACCACCCAAATTGGTACTTGATCTGTGTTTGTTGGAAATAAGCATGGTGTATATGTTTTAGAACATTTAGTTTTTGCAAAGTAAAGTAAGAGTGCTGAAACTACAAATTTGCCAATTTGTCCATAAAAGGACATAACTTGAGAACAGCAAAAGTAATGCCACCCATATTATTAAAACTTGATCTGTGTTTTGTGGTAATAAGAGTTGTGTATATGTTTTAGAACATTTAGTTGTGGCAAAGTAAAGTTAGAGTGTAGAAACTGCAAGTTTGCCAATTCTTCATTTAACAAGCATTCTGTGAGTATTGAAATGAGTAATGAATTTTCTAAGTTCAAGGACCATAACTCTGCACAAAATCTTCAGACCGGAACAAAATTGGAACTTGATCTGTAACTTGTCATGATAAAACAATACACCAAATATCAAATCAATATCTTTTAGCATGAAGAAAAAAAGTGTAGAAAACTGATTTGCCGGACTGACGAATGGACAGACAGACAGAACTGAGACAGACAGAGGGACGGAGTGCAAACCTAAAGTCCCCTTCCACTTCATCGGTAGGGGACTAAAAAGGGACATAACTCGAGAATGGCAAAAGTGAAACCACCCATATCCAAACCTGATCTGTGTTTGGTGGTTTTAGGTGTAATACCACCAAATCATAGTACGTCACATCCGGTTGCATACGAAAATAGGTCGAAAAAAAATATTCCCTTGAATTTGACAGTTGTAGGTAATTGATCCTACATTTCATTGCAGTAAAACATTTCTGAGTCATAAACATATATCTTGGGTATTTCAAAGCACCATTATTTCTTTATTTGGGGTTTCTATAGAATATTTTGGAAACTTGAGGTTACATGGTTACTAAAGCTTGTACACAGGTTAAAAAAGGGGGAAAATTTGATTGGTTAACTTCCAGTGATGGTTATTTTCTTATATGCAATGAAATGTTATGTGAAATTTTTTCTATACTACTGGACAGGATAAAACTTTACTCATGCCAAGTATTTCTTTATTTGAAACAAAGATAAATTCTGCACAATTTTTTGAAAAGTGCAAATTTAACAAAGACTAATAGGGGAAAATCAATGGTGGTATTACACCTAATATGGGAAGCTGTACATGCACCTTTGACCTTGTGAGTACTCTCATGTGTTAAAATTTCTTGCTATTTAAGTGAAATATTACAAATAATGAAATATTCTGAGTAGATTGAGTCTCCAAAATACATTTTATGAGAAAATTTCCTTGAAATAGGACTTTACCATGAATATTAGTTGACAGAACAAGCCATACTTAGAGTCTTGGGGAGCTTTTTCTCCTTATTTCTTATATTCTGCTATACTAGAAAATTTTTCCTAAGAAATACTTTAATAAATATATAGTTTTAAGTAAATGAAATTATTTTTAAAGCAGTAACAACAAATTATTCACCAAAAGAGAAGTTTTTTATGTCCCTCTCTGGAACGCGGCGTAAATTTAAGTTTTACGCAAGGACTTATTGAAACCTCCTTGGAGACAGTAAACTTTTATACGGATAGTTCAAGCAGCTTGAATACTTCAATTAATCATTTATAATAACATTTCTATCATAAATGAGTGAAAGTTACCCCAAAATTTTTATTTTTTTGGCCTAAAAAGTAGAAATTTTGAGGAAATGAGAGGTATAAATGGACCAAAAGAGACTTTATAAGGAAGAATAAGAGGTCCATTAGTAGTATTTATCATCCTAAAGTCATCTTTTGTATCATATTCAACTGTTTGTAGGCAGATGAGATCAATATTTGATCATTTATTGGTCCACACTATATTCTATCATGATGCGGCTTGGTTTGAATTTTTCGAAGAAATTTTGCTCGAATCGCTGTAGATGTCGTCTTACATTATACTAGATTTTTCTCAAACTATTGAACTGATTATGACAAAACTTGACAGGAATGCTTGAAATAACCAGTATTACAAAGGAAAAAAGTCACATTCAGTTTATTCAACAAAAAAGTCTTCTTTAGGTGTAATACCACCAAATCATAGTACGTCACATCCGGTTGCATACGAAAATAGGTCGAAAAAAAATATTCCCTTGAATTTGACAGTTGTAGGTAATTGATCCTACATTTCATTGCAGTAAAACATTTCTGAGTCATAAACATATATCTTGGGTATTTCAAAGCACCATTATTTCTTTATTTGGGGTTTCTATAGAATATTTTGGAAACTTGAGGTTACATGGTTACTAAAGCTTGTACACAGGTTAAAAAAGGGGGAAAATTTGATTGGTTAACTTCCAGTGATGGTTATTTTCTTATATGCAATGAAATGTTATGTGAAATTTTTTCTATACTACTGGACAGGATAAAACTTTACTCATGCCAAGTATTTCTTTATTTGAAACAAAGATAAATTCTGCACAATTTTTTGAAAAGTGCAAATTTAACAAAGACTAATAGGGGAAAATCAATGGTGGTATTACACCTATAGACATTACGTACAAGTTTCATAACATTTGGTTGGGGGAAACTAAACTAATTTTGGAACGTACAGACAGACGTACAGACTTACGAACGTAAGGACAGACACAGGTAAAACTTAATGTCCCCTCCGTTGGGCAGGGGCATAAAAATACTTTTTTGTGTGTGTTATCTAGAGTAATAAGTCTTTAACCTCTGAATTTTTCATTTCATTTTTTTTCTCTTCCACGAAATATCTAAAAAGAATTTTTTAAGTGTTTTTTTTAACTTTTGAAATTTCCCCTACCAATCGATCAGACAGTAGTTTTAAGTTGTCAAAAGGCCAAAAGGTACATGTACATAAAATGATGCTAGATAGTTATAAGATACATTTGTCTTTTAAAATATACAACTGTCAAGTAATTATAAGGATCGTAATGATGTCATGGATAAATTTCAGTTTTCAAGAGCTAAATTGACAGTGCGACATCCCTATAATGGCTTCCATTTTCACGAATGAAAAAATTAAGTAGCTTAATGGGGAGATAATTTTGATTGAGTAGAATCCTGACTGAGGATATGCAAGTTCATCTGTCACCATGGCCAAACACTATTCAATAAGGGGGAGCTGACTCAATACCTGAACCAAGGGACAGGGGGACAGTTTAATGATCAACTCAATATTAGGATAGGCATAAATAGCTAAAAGGCAAGGAAGGTTTTCATAATTTATAATATCCAATTAAAATTTAGATGAATGATAATGACATGAATCTCAAAAAGTATACATGTGCCAAAGTTAAAATATGAGGGTACCTGTAAAGTGCTAAACGAAATAGAAACGGAACGGAACAAAACGAAACGAAACGAAATAGTGCAAAATGAAATGAAATACAG